TTTATATTGAAAATTTTATTCTTTTTTCATTTGAATTTGTCTGTTTTGAATTGATTTAGGAACTTGAGATCTGATTTGGATCTAGTGTTTCTGTTGAGTAGATCTTTTGTTTTATGAACGATTTAGCTTGAATTTTTTTATCAGATGTGCTTTGATTGCAATGCGAAGAATCCTACATGGGCGTCGGTTACGTATGGGATCTTCTTGTGTATTGATTGTTCGGCAACGCATCGTAGCCTTGGTGTTCACATCAGTTTTGTTAGGTACATTCTAAAGTTTGGTCACTTTATTCTTCTTTTATGCATTTGTTTATTGTTATAAATCAATATTCCATTCAATTGTCTTTTTTGTCCTTTGATTCAGCTATGTTGTTTGGGAAGTTATGTAAGGTATGTGGTTTAGGTTTTATTAGATACTCTGTAGGAATGTTGAAATTACTGGAATCAGCCGTGATTTCTGCCTTCATAAACAGTTGCTTCCTCTCATTACTCAATGTTGCAAATTAAGATGAGGATGTATTCAAAGATTGCATCTTTGGGTGAATGTGTGCCGGATAAATTAGTCTAGATCGAGTTGAGGACATGTACTGTTTTAAGATGTGCTTTTTAGAACAAAATGATAAGGAAATAATGTCAAACATATTGGAGCGGATGGATATATTGTTTTGAAGGGGGAGTGGGTATGGCCAGCTGCAAACAAATATGTTCTGCTCTATCTCTGTTATTTTGGCATTTATAACTGTCCATTTTCAATGAATTGATTCTTGCAGGTCGACAAATTTAGATTCATGGTCACCAGATCAGTTGAAGATGATGTACTTTGGTGGAAATAACCGTGCTCAAGTTTTTTTCAAGCAGCACGGATGGACGGATGGAGGCAAGATTGAAGCCAAGTATACCTCCAGGGCTGCCGAATTGTATAAACAATTACTCTCAAAAGAAGTGGCTAAAAGTAAAGCAGAAGATACAGGTTTGCCAACATCACCTGTTGCCTCTCAGCTTGTGCAGACTACAAATGGATTTTCTAATATTAAGATTAGTGAAGCTCCAAAAGAAACCTCATTATTTAAGGATGAAACACCAGAGGTTTCTGCTTCACCCAAAGCTTCACAATCAATGTTTACTACTTCGATTAAAAAACCTATAGTTGCAAAGAAATCTGGCAAGCCAGGTGGACTTGGAGCTCGTAAACTTACTAAAAAGGTACATCTTAGACTTCCAAGCTAGAGAAATGGATGCAGGGTATAAATTGCATATTTTGAAATGAAGATTTATTCATGCTTTTATAATAAGGTATTTAACAAATTTGGAACTTAAATTAATTGATTGAGCATCTTTACAGACCAGTGAAAGTTTGTATGACCAGAAGCCCGAAGAACCGCCTGTTCAAGTTTCTTCCTCCAACCCTGCAAGTAGTGCACCAACTGGTGGCTCATCATTCACATCTCGCTTCGAGTACACGGACAATGTCCAATCCTCTGAGATGAGTTCTGGACGTGTTCTTAACCATGTATCCCCTCCAATGTCCTCCAATTTTTTTGCGGACTATGGAATGGAAAGCGGTTTCACAAAGAAAAGCTCAAAATCTTCCAAAGTTCAAGTGAGTTCTTATTCTAGTTCTTATGTTTACTGCCATACAAGGATCCTTTCTTTTTTTTGAGAGAGAGAATTGGTAAACACTGCCATACAAGGATTCTAATAGAGCTGTCACATGAAATGTTAATGTTGATATGTGTATCTATGAGATATAAAGAAAGTAGTACCACACTTAGTTTAACTGCTATATTATACATAGGTGCAGCAGTTGGGTGGGTGGACTATATTTTGATCAATACTAAGTTGACGGCGGTGACTACTGACTTGTGAGAGATTTGTTGCTTTTTGATCTTATTCCAGCTTCTTGTGTTGTCAATAAGTGTAAGGATTGTTATTGATTTAGGAAAAGGTTGTCGCCATTTGGAACTTCAATCTTACATTCTAAATATTTGCAATGGAAGTTTCAACTGTTTGGTTACTAATGAAATAAAAATAAAAACAACTTTTGGATGTTTTGTAATATAGTTTGCCTTTGAATTTTTTCTTTCTTTTTTCACCTTGGATTTGTCCTTCAGTTTGTGATTTATTGTTCTCACTCGGTACTTCTTTTGTTCGTTATTTATGAGTAGGACTGCTTTGCCTAAAGTTGTTTCTTTAGTCTTCAATTTATTTATTTTTTCGTCGATGGTGATCTGGGCCAGCTTTCTATGCATCTCGACTAATCCCACCAGGTACTTATTCTCTTACCTGCACTAGTAGTGGGCTTGGGTAGATAGGAAAAAATCACCTAGAGTCTTTTTGTTTCTGCTTGGTTTTGAACCTAAGACTCATGGTTCTTCCCCACTTTATTGATGCCACACTTTTCTCACATTCTAATGATGGTGTTTGTTTTATTTAATTAAGTTACATCCTATTTTAATCAGATCGAGGAAACTGATGATGCAAGGAAGAAGTTTACTAATGCAAAAGCAATTTCATCTGCCCAATTCTTTGGTGATCAGAGCAAAGCTGAAATGGAAGCCTCAGTTTCTCTTAAGAAGTTCTCGGTATGACTGCTTGTTGTAGATAACATTCTCATATATTTATGGGTGTAGCTGTTTTCTTGATCAGCAAGCAGACACATTGACTTGACCACCTCCCATTCCTCATTCAATCTCATACTAGGGTCTTGTCCTATAAATTGATTGGAAAAAAGGAGATTTCCCACCTAAAAATGGATGAATCAGATTCCTGTTCCTTACAATGTTTTCTACTGCTATGTATTTTCAGGGTTCAAGTGCCATATCAAGTGCAGACCTTTTTGGTGACGATGATAGATCAGATTTGGACCTCACTGCTGGTGATCTCATTAACCGGATCTCATTCCAGGTATAGAAGCAATAATGACACAAACGTAAATGTTTTTGAGTTGGAACACAAAGACATTGAAAGGATCACTCTCTATATTTTCAGGCACAACAGGACATGTCCTCTCTGAAAAACATGGCTGGAGAAACTGGAAAGAGACTTGGCTCATTTGCATCAACATTAATCTCCGATTTTCAAGACCGCATCCTGTGAGGTTACAGGACCAGAATATTTCAGGCAGATGCAAACATTTTGTATGAAAAATAATATTGGAATGCAACTCTATATACAGGCTTTGAAGAAGCTGGTCTTGCCATGTTAAAAATTTCTGTTTCTTTGTATTTGTTTGGTTGTCGGTGAGGTTTGTAGAGCTTTTGTTCAACAATTTACTGTGTCTGAGTTGTGAAGTCGTTCAATTGTAAACTATAGTGAAAACTCTTTAGATTTTATCCTCTTTATATATATATACATACACATTATGTTTAATTTAGAATTAGGTGACCACATATAAATAAACAGCTTATCATTTTAATTTAATTTTTTTTACAATAATTACTAAATAATAATTAAATTTCAAGAACCGTTAAGACTAGAAACATAATAAGGTTTTTTAGCTAATGTTTCTTACTACGAACCGTAGCTATAGCTTGATGTGCTACACAACTAACAGAATGTAGAACTGACATATTGTTATTGACTTTCCTAAAGCAAGGACATACGTGTATGAATCAGTTTTACTCCTTTAATAGATACTTATTTTTAGATTATTAATATTCATTTCATTTACAAAATTTACTTTTATATTTATATTTAAAGATTAGATATTTTTAAAAAAAATTATACATAAATTCAACGAAAATTGTTTAGACCACGAAAAACACAAATAAAGTTGTTAACTATATATAAATTTAATATGTATAGTATGGTGTGCGTTTGTGTGAGAGAGAGGGCGATGAGAGAGGGAGAGAGAGACTAGTATAAAATAGTTGAGGTTCCTAAATTTTTATCGAACTTGAAAATAATAATAAAAAAACTATGCTCTAATACTTTAAGAAAGATTAATAAACCTTGACAAAGTAATTATGACAATAAGATCATGATAACGTTAATTTCGATGAACATAGAAAGAGAACTTATTATTGTGTCACGGTCTAATTCATCGTATTGTGCGAAAACATACTCTAACATCTAGATAAAAAAACTTTTACCGTGCAATGTAAAACAGGCAATAGAAAAATAAACAAAAGACTATAAAATTCATTTAATAATATTTCATACCATTTTTCAATTATGAATGTAACCTAGGTCCTGGGCTTTTGGTGATTGGATCATGTTGGATCTTTGCTCTTTAACTAGTCTTTACTTAATAATGTTTAAAATTCATAGATGCTTTTTCAAATAATATGATAAAATCTATGTAAGCGCTCATTTAAATCTTTAAGATGAAACAATAAGACAACAAGATTTTACATTCTTAACTTCTTGATGAAAAATTAAAGTGATTCTTCAAGAACATACTCACGAATTTTTTTTTAATAATATTATATTTTGAAATGATATCTTAAAAGTAATTTTTTTCGAAATTAACCGAACCATATAAATAGTGAAGAGAAATTGATAGTCGATGTGATTTAATGATTTTAAAAAATCTAATTTTTGTTATATAATATAAAATACCAAAAGAAAAAATGAGATGATATAAATTCTTTTTAAAAAATAACTGACCGTCTCATTGACACCCTTACATTATATCATAATATTAAAATCTATCTATTAATTTAAAATCTATTAATTATAATAACTTTCCTAGTTGGCAGATTTACTTTCCAAATCTCCGACATAATATTTTAAAATATAATTGACCATCTAATTGACCCCCCTACATTATATCATAACATTAAGATTTATATATTAATTTAGAAAATCTATTAAGCTATATCACTCTCCTAATTGATAAATTTACTTTCCAAATCTCCCACCCCCACCCCCCAATCTTTATATGTTTCCCTCTCATTTCGAAACCTCTCTATGTGTTAGAAAAAACATTCAACATCACCTAGAGTTTTCATATCTCTATTGTTGATTTCTCTCTAGCTTTTGTTATTTTCTTACTTGTCAATGAAAAAAGTAAATTTAGAGAATGTACAAACATCACCTGATCATGATGCTTTGAAATCCCAAGAAATTGAGAAAAACAACATAGATTTATCATTAGTAAAAATCGAAGTTGAAGAAAAGAATTCAGATTTGAATGAATATCGATCACCTGTTCGAGTTGATTCTGATTCAATGGGCTGTATCGTTTCTTCGGATGGTAATGAGCTTTTATATTCGGGTTGGGCTGAATGGTCTCCTTCAATAGTTGCACCAATTACTTCAATTAAGCCCGAAAATTTCAAAGAGACGGTTGAAGAAACTAGGTCTATTGAGAATAAGCCTTCTAAAATGGTGGTATGATTTTGACTTTTAGGTTATACAATTTACAATTTTAGCCTATTTTATGACATTTTAATTCTTAGTCAATCAACTATTAAGTAAAATGGTGCGTGTTAACCACTTTTAATTTCTTTCAAGTCATACAATTTATCATTTTAGCTTATTCATATGACATTTTTATCGATCAACTTGGCCTATTTTTTTGACATCTTTATAAATCAACTATATAGACAAATAGTGTTGGCTAACCATTTTTCCGTCTCTTTTTAAGTGATACAATTTACCGTGAAATAGCATGGGTTAACCACTTTTAACTCTTTCAAGTGATATAACTTGTGCTTTTAGTCTATTATAACTACATCTTAGTCAATCAATATTGTAGTAAATTATCCAGGGCTATCCACTTTTAAGTTTTTTCAAATGATATATTTTTTTCTATTTTTATGACATCTTTAACTGATAATCTATTGTAGTAAAGTAATCAGGGCTAGCTACTTTTATGTTATTTCAAATGATACAATTTTTTAACTTACATCTCAATCAATAAAATTATGTAGTAAAATAGATAGGCTAGGACAACCACTTTTCAGCTCGATAATTGAGAATTAGCTAGCCACTATTATAATAAAATTTTTCAAAGTTACAGAATAACCAATTTTAAGTGTGTATTATTAAATAGATATTGAGATATGATGCATTACTAAACAATCACTATTGTGTGTATTTTATATATAAATTCTTGTTGTTATTGCCTGTTTTTAGGGAATTGGCCTGTCTAACTTAGGCAACACATGTTTTCTGAATGCGGTTTTGCAATGTATTATGCACACCGTAGTGTTGCTTCAGCTACTTGCTTCGATTGATCATATATCGCCATGTAATAGTAAGTATATCAACTTAAAATTTCTTTTTATTTCGAACGATTTTTACCTTTGTTAGATTCATGTCATTTCTTATTGCAGATCACACAATTGGATTTTGTGTACTTTGCATGATTCGAAATCTAGTTGACCTTTCTATAGTTGGTGCTTATGATTATGTCTCACCGAGAAAAATTGTTAGCCACTTGAGAGGTATATGCATGTTAACCGTAGTTATTTATTTATTTCATTTTGAAGTTTACTATAAATTTAAAACCAAATAACATTCTCATCAATGAAATATATGAAGAATAGAATCGTTTTTTAAAGTAGAAAGGACAATTGTAAAATAGTTCTAGTATAGTATTGATTACAACTTGAGCTTTGTGGCTCTATGTCTCTGTGACAACTATGTAACTTATATTTATTTATTTTTTTCTTAACTTTGTGAAAATATATATCAGATTTTTCACCCGATTTCGATTTGTATCAACAAGAAGATGCACATGAATTCTTACAGTGCTTTCTCAATAAACTCGAATATTGTTGTTCCAATCTAGAACCACAAGACAACATTGTAGAGGAGTCCTTTGGTGGTCGTTTTGTAAGCAAGGTAACCACTTACATGCTTTTATATCGAATTTTTCATTTTTCAAATTGATGTATAATGCTTTTTACCATGTACGATTTATGTACACTTTGTATGTCTAGCTTGTATATATAAAATTTTGTATAGTTAATTTGTTTTTCTCTATTTGAAGCTCCGTTGTTGCAATTGTGAATATTTCTCTGTCACACAAGAGCCTTTCATCGACATAAGCTTAGATATTGAGGATATTGACAGTGTACCAGAAGCATTGAACTCTTTCACCAAAATCGAGAAATTTGAATTTTCTTGTGAGATGTGCGAGATACATGGGTCATTTGAGAAACAGCTCCTCGTTGATCGTGCCCCTTCTGTTGCTGCCTTGCATTTGAAAAGATTCAAAAATAACGGAACAGATATTCAGAAGGTGGAGAAGCATGTTTCATTTCCGCTGGAATTGGACATGCTTCTTTACACCAACGAAATCAATAATGTGAGTATCTTTATTTGAACTTTTACCTACATTTTATCTTTTGTTAGCAGTTACATGATGTTGTTTCATTTCTAAATAGGAAGAAATGAAATACGATCTCTACGCAATTATAGTGCATTCCGGACCTTCAATATCTTCAGGACACTATTATAGCTTCATTCGTTGTGCTCCAAATGAATGGTACAAATTTAACGACAAGCAGGTATATATATATATATTGGAATTTCGTTAATTAATTTGATTGAAATGTTTTAGGGTTTACGACAACAAACTTGTTTTGATTTTTGTGATAGGTTGATTTTGTTGAAGAAGATTTTGTCTTAGCACAGGAAGCATATATTATATTCTATGCAAAAAGGGACACTTTATGGTTTTCAGACTATACTCAAATCTATAGGTCCTTCATAAATTTGGTTATCCCCTCAACATCAAATGATCATCTTTTAGATGTTGGTAAATTCAAAATCTTTTTTTTTTTGCCAAGTTAAATATATGTTCAAACTTGAATGAAATGTTGTTGAAACAACTACTAATAAACATTTAGCAGATGATCAGGTTTATTGCGAAGATCAATTGCAAGACGTGGAAATAAAGAAGGTGTGTTCAAAAGATGAAGAAGAATCCATGGATGTGAATGAAAAGAAGAGGAAGCTGGAAGATTCTCCAAGTAAAGACGTAAAGGCGGATTAAGCTAAAAAAATCTTGTTTTTTTTTCGAACAGTCTCAACGTCGATTGAAGCCTTATAGCTTTAAAAGGTTTACCTTATGTACGCAACAAAATGAGTAATTTGAACTCATAGAATAAATAGTCTTTTTTTCGTAATTCAAAATTTTGAGTTTACGAATTCAAAGATAGAAATAATATATTATTGGATTCTCCATCAATTATTTATACATTACATTAGCAAAAATGATTTTTGTTTGATATGTTTGAACATCTTTCCCGTGATATTTAGTGTAATGTAACAAGGTTATAATATGTACGTTGAGAGGTTGGTGTGTATGTAGCCTTATATCTTATCATGAGCAAGATACGAACTACTTTCGGTAGATTCTGTAGAAAGATATCAAGAGTGAATTAATGTTTGTTTAAAAGATAAAATAATGAAGAAGACGTATTGAAATGGAGAACAGAACTATGATGATAAATAATATGATAATTGAAGTCAAAGAGGCAACAAGCAATACTAAAAAATAGAAGATTAAGATTGTATATATGAGAGTAGTAGTAATAATAATAATTACATTAAGGAAACTAGGCAATGCTCGAAACTAATTTAGATGTATTCTACTTGAGTTGTAAGTTCTCTATTAGAAATAACATCTCTATCTCTGTAAGGTAATCAAATTATTCTATCATTTATTAATCGAGTTTATTGATCTAAATAGTCTAGACTCTATTTGTAGGGTTAGGGTTAGTTAAAAGGAAAAAAATGCTCCCTATTTTTTCATTTTCAGAAATTTAACACGAGAATCTTTTTTTGTTATCATGAAATCGATATATAAATCTAAAAGTTACATGTATCACATCGAATAGAAGACAATCCAAATAACAAGCCTCAGCCAACTCATTGGAAATATGAGATCGACAAGAGGTTAGCTTCTCTTTATGTCGTGATCGAAAGTTTGACTCTTATCGATAAAAACTCTAATTAAAGGCAATCAAATTTCATCCATCTCACCATTTTCTATAATATAATAATATAATTGTGTCATCATCACAATATTAATAACGATATGATATGTTTGTTTATTTTTCTATACACTAAAAAAGACAATACCTTGCATGTGATATGGCTGAATTTTATTTGCTTTGATTTCTCTCTAAGTTGTTATCAATAAAATGTTGTCCACATTTTAATTTATCTACGAATTAGTAATTAATATTGGCAAACTACCAAAAAGGGTCACAATCACAAAGTATATATGGATTAATTGGTGAATTTTGATAAAATAGTAAAAGATAAATAATTGTTCTCTTTGCCTAATATAAATTTGAATGCATGAATTCAATATTCATATAATTTATTTATTTATTGATAGTTATAATTTATTATTTCTGAGTTAATTATTTATATATTTTATCTAATAATGAAAGATAGTAATTATTATATTTGATTAACATAAATATCGAATAATTATAACTATCAAAGCTTGACTAATAAATATATTTTAACTTTATTAGAATTCGAATGCATGAACTCAATGTCCATGCAATCTTTTTTCTTTTATAATAATAATAATGACTAAACTAGCTTGCAAATTTCCAACTAATAATAGGGGGTAATTATTACACCATCTTTTTTTACTAATACAAATATTAAATAATTTTGATTGTCAAAATTTGAATACTAAATATGTATATTTTTACTTCACTAAAATGTCATACAATTTCCTTTTTTTTTTTATATAATCACAATATTGGTATTTGGATTAGCTTGTGAATAGTTTACATAAATGTGGAATAAACATTTTTACCTCTATTCAATTAGCCATGGTTTTCTTATTTAGGATAACTTTCATGTATATCAAACATAAAATTTATATTTGTATGTTATAATAAAGTTTGCATAAGTGTGTTTCATAGCAAACGTATATATGTATAATTTGCTATACATATACAATTGAAGCGATTTGTATAAAACGAGAAAGAGACCGAAAATTGTATAAAAATAAATTTATAAAACGAATTGTATAATTATAGTGTTTAAGACAATTATAATCAATATGAATTTGTATAAAACGAAAAAGAGAGAAAGGCAAAAGAGACTTGGGCGGGAAATGTACAATTGAATCTAATTGTACAAAACGAAAAAAAAATTATATAGAATTTGAATTTGTATAAAACGAAAAAGAGAGAAAGACAAAAGAGACTTGAGCAAAGAAGTATTTTTATTGTATAATTATAAGTGTATATAAACGTAAATTTATATATTTACATGTGTATATATTCAATTTTATCTAACTTTATACAATTAGAAATACAATTTATATAACTCTATTATATAATGCGAGAGAGGCGAGCGAAGAAAGCGAGCGAGTGGTGAGAATATGGGGAGAAAGAGACTGACAAACAATTTGCTACGTAACACAAATAAATCAAACGATAGCTACTATATTTATTTTATATTATTAGTTTGTGATTCTATACAATTATCCTTTTAAATTAACCAATTTCGGAGCTTTAGACGATTGCCGGAAAACCTTCATCGGACTTCCCAAATACCATCCTTTCAACTTCTCCGTCGAACAATTTACATCATTGCCGCCGGATACTGACGTCATCGCCACATTCACCGATCTCGATCTCATCACCGTCGTTATCGCGAATTCCTTAATCCTCGTATCATTGCAGTAGTATGCTTTCGATTCCGATTCGTTCTCTTTACCTCTCTTCCTTAACTTAAAAATCCACCAGAACGGTGCCGTTTTGTTACTCTTCTCACTCTCTGTCTTCCTTCTCCGGTCACCGGAATCAACATTTCGTGATTTTAGAAAGGGAATTCCGATGGATTTTGATCTACATAACGCTGTCTCGCTGCTGTCGTTATTGTCGCCGGTTTCGTTACTCTTCTCACTCTCCGTCGTCTTTCTGGAATCAACATTTCGCGATTTTAGAAACGGAATCCCGACGGATTTCGATCTACACAACTCCATCTCTCTGCCGTCTCCGACTTTGCTACATTTCTCAGTCTCCGACTGGTTCTTCCGGCTGCTAGAATTAACATTTCGCGATTTTAAAAACGGAATTCCTACAGATTTTGATCTACAGAAGACTGGTTCCTCGCCGGAGGATGAAGACAACGACGTCGTAGATGCGGCGCAGCTAGAAGAGCAAGGGCGCACTTTAGCACAGATAGGGCAAAGTTCGGAAAGTCGATCCCGGAGACAAATTGAACAAACTCCGGTAGTAGTTCGCCGTTTCTTCAAAGGGTGTTTTGGACATTTCCATGCTTCTTCTTCATTATAGTACACCATTTCTGCAAGTCTCTTTTTATTTTTCTTCTCAAGTTTCATAATAACTCTTTATATATATATATATATAATCGTCGATACGATATGCGCAAATATTATTAAAATAAAAACTATATTTTTGAGGTGTTTGGTGTGTGTGAATAGAAACTTAACGAAAAGTCTCATATCTATTTGTTAAAAATTGTTGTAAAGACTTTTACTACTATAATATAATATAATTTGAACACGTTCAAGATTTAGCTTAGGTAAAAAGAAATATAGTAGGTGAGTTCTTTTGTTTATTTCAATTTTGGTGGGATATAAATATGTAGACTTTGTGAGTATGAAAAATAAAAAGTATGTCATCAAATAATCGACATTATATAGTTATATAGATGTTATTTTAATAAATATGGTGCTTTGGAAAAGTTCATAATTTGCAACATTAATTAATTAGGATGTTCTAAAGATGCATTTTACTCAATCAAATGTATCACTTCATTTGAAAGATCAATTACATAGTAAATATTTGTTATTTGAATATTCAATATTTATATTAAAATTTGAATAAATTAAAGTTCAAACAATTATTAACTCCATTTTGAAGGGGGGCAACATGATTTTTACCATTTTTAAACTCAAATCTACTATATAGCTGATAAATACATTTTCTTTAAAACAAAAAAATCAAATCACTCCATTATTCATTGATGTCGATATAGGAAAGATCATAATCGAATACCAAATAAATTAATGACTTCTTCACATAACAATAATTGACTGGTCGAAAGTGATAATACTAAGGAAATCTATTGTAAGATTTTGTATTACTATTTGGAAAAGAAAAAAAAAGTATTTTTTGAATTTGACCTTACCATTCAAAGGTTAAGTTTTTTTTTATAGTATTACTATTGTTATTAATAAAACATGTAATGAGTTTTCTATGATTAAAAAAAACATTGGAGCCGACATTTTAATAATAATCATTCTCTATAAAAATATTTTACTATGATATTCGAGTTTCACCAAAACCAATTTTTATAGAGTGTTATATCATATCTTTAAGATATTTGACTTTTAAACAATAATCATGTTACTAGAAAAGTTAAATATAAATATTAAAAGGTAAGTAAAAATCAAGGTAGCCTGAGTATTGAATTTGATAGATTCAATCTTTAAAGTTTGTTTAACTATATTTTCTTGAGTCAGAAGTATATTAGAAACGACATCCTCTATAACTCTACCTTTATAAACTGTTGTTAAAGAGTAAGAATGTTTTTTTAAATATGAATCAAATTTTATGATATTATCGTGAAATTAAAAGTTACATCAATTAATATATATATATATATATATAAAGAAATAGGAGTACCAAATAAACAAATTGCAGGAACAGTACAACCATGTCTTTTGAAAATTAAAACTCAACAATTGACTTGTCATAAAACAGAAATCTATTTTAAGATTTTGTAGTACTAACCTGAAAAAGAAAGGATTTTGGCATCTTGATTCTTATTTGACCTTGTACTATTTCTAAAGTTAAAAAAATGTTATAAATCTTTTTTACTATTTTTTTTTCTTTTTAGGTTTGAAAAATAATCACTCTAACTAGGGGTCAAAATCTGTAGATATAATTATTGGTACAAAGGCAGCATTTATCTTGCACCCATAGGATTTGATAGTAGCAACATGACATTCGATTATTATATGAGAAAGACAATTGAAAATTGGAGGCATGAATCATGATTTTTTTCCCAAGTCGATGAATTTTAATATAAACGCTAGATTTGATCTAAATTAGTAAAAATTTAATTAATTTTGCGGTCGACCCTCTAGTTCTATTATTGCTGAATATCAAGGTGAATTAAAATTTATTAGATATTTGAATAGTACTAATTGAACATGAACAATAATATAAAAAAAATGTTAGATGACAATCATTTGAACTACGTTTAGTTAGAAAATATAATCACTTCTAATTTTGTCTAGTAATATTCGCTCTCATATAACATATTTGATCTTATGATAAGATTATAGTGAGAACAAACACAAAATAAGTTGATTAAATGAAAATGCAAATTGGAAAAAAAATAAAAAATGAAAATAAGAGGGAGTTAAGATTTGTTCTTAATAAGAATATCAACAATAAATATTAAATATTAAGTGTAGGTCAAAGAAAATTACTTATAAATTAAAAAAACCTAAATTGAACATGATCGATTTATATTTTTCGAATGATTTTACTATTAACATATAGACGCAGTTGGTATTTTTACCAAGTGCATACCCAACTAAAAAAAATGAAGAAAAAAAAACTTAAAAGTTGTTGATCCAATTTAAAAGTTTACTCAAAAACTCAACTTATACTTTGTTCTAAAGAAACTTAATAGCCACTAAACTTATGATGATCGAAAAGCAAGCATTGAATTTTCACTTGCAAGTTATTCAAACACATTTTTAAGGTGCATAATTATGAAAAGATCATTATTTTTTTAGTTGTCATTTTTTAACATATCAAGCCATATATCTTAAATATTAATTATTTGTTCATCAAATCATTTTCTAAATATGTAAGACAATGCATTAATTAATACAGATACTAATAGTTGTTTTTTAAGGGTCACGCAATTTAAGGGAAAATTCCTTTCTACACCATTGTTTTAAAAATGATTTTTCATGGCTGAAAAAGAAATTACTCGATCCATTTTCGTATCTCATGGTATATATCTTAATTTGGAAAGCAGGATAATGAAAATCCATGTGAAGCTCAAATCCAATCATGGGTCATCTTCATCGGCCCATGAAGTGAGATAACTTTGGGTCCAAGAAGTTAAAAAAGGCTTTCACTTTGCAGAAATAGCCTCTTTTAGGAGTTGTATTTAAGGAATAGTCAAAATGATAAAAGTTTTAAATGTTTAATCAAAATGATTTAGATATACTATTAGACCTAATCCAATCTCAAAAACTAACCTATAGAGAAAATCATTCATTTGTTTTTCATCCAACGTCCTGATAAGCAACTCTAGTAATAGATCATAAAAATGATTCGGAAAAATATAACTAGAGTGATAGATAAAACATTAAATAACAATATTATTCTTTTCAAATACGTTAAAATTAATAAACATAAATAAAAATTTATTTTTAAATAATGGACCAATAAAAATATAGAGATGAGTATATATATATATGATGTCATGGGAAGGGGTTGTTAAGAAAGGGTCTTCTTTTATGTTGTTTTCATAAAATCATGGCGGCGGCTCCCAAATAAAGCAACCACTATTTCCGTTTCAGTCAAATAAATTTTACTAAATTAATTCTTAATATATTTTAAAAATTTTTATACAATTATTTAATACTAGTAAAAATAGAAATAGGAAAAAAAACTATAATAATTCTTAACTTCAAGTTGTCATTAAATTGAAATATTTTGATCCATTTATCATCTAATATATTAAATTTATTAATCTGATTAATTTCAATTTACGTCTATGTTCAATAATATGATAACATTCAATAACATAATATTATGATATCAGTTGTAGCCCTGTATTTTGTGCTCTTTATGTTGGATTTAGCAATTATGACATGATATAATGTGGATTTTTCCAACCTATACATAAAAAGTATATTTTATTAAAAAGAAAAATGAAATCAGAAAAGCTGATGCAATATTGGAGAACATCTGGCTTATGATGTTGTATGTACTTTTCCCCAATTATTGAGCTCTAATAATATTCTCTTGGAAATTGGAAAAAAAATTAACATATGTCTTAATCAGACCTTTTTATAAATATTTTTTATATAAAAATTATATTTTTTTTCTATATGAAGGCTATGTTTTTCAGGAACTGATTTGCATCTTATATTATATTATATATATTTTTTATTATAATATATTTCTATATATATTCAAAGAAATGACGATATTACATAAAAATATGACTATAACTAACAAATTACAAGCCTTTCAATATTAAATCAATAAATAGAAAACTAAAGATTCTTATGTTAACTTTTGAGTAAATAAAAAGAAAGAAGAAGAAAATTGAACAAGATGATACGCTCATATATTTCATTGAAGGTTTAAACTTAAATATATTCGAAAGAATTAAAATATAATCTTTTAATTCAAGAAGAATTTGGGATTTTCATTCGAATTCATCGAAAATTGAATGAACTTTTAACTTGGAAAAAAATGTAGAGGAAAAACAACAGAGTGCATTAATTTTTTTTTAATGCTTAGTCAAATATCATATGAATTAAAATTATAATTTACTTATAATTGAAGGACCAAAATGATATTATCCTTAAGATTTAATAACTCTAATTAAGATGACCAATTACTTTTCCATGCTAAATAAATGAGCAAATTGTACCAATAATTGAAATCTTTTTATTTGCATGAGGTGGATTGAACTGTCACAAACCACAAACTATTGAGATAAAGAAAAGGAAATATAGTATTTTCTTAATCAATGACCTAAACTAAAGAATTGATTCGAATGGCCAACTTTTAAAACCAAAAAATAAAATAAAATATGTGGTTATTAATTTGCTCAACAAATAAATATGTCAATTTGAATAACTGCATTTAATTAGTGGTGACAATTTTATTTGATATTTTTATACATTTTTCTAAAACTAATGTTAGGTAATGGTCCTCTATCTTGTGGATTGATAGAGAAAATGACCTCTATCTTGTGCTTGCACATAAAAAATAAAAAAAAATAAAAAAATTGTGCCACGTATAAATGTGTGTTGAAAATTCTCAAATTTAGGTATATTTTTTTTATTTCTACGAATATAATTGATTTATAATATAAAAGGTATGTATATATTTACAAAGTATAGTGTTCATTATATAAGAAAGATGTAAACATATATTGATTAGGTTGCTAACTATATATGGAGTGTAACTAGCATTCACTACCAAAAATAATGGATAATGAAATTCACGGATAATTAGTTTTTTATTAAATTTCTATTAAAATTATTGTTGTTTCAATAGAAAGATACATTGAAAATTCATATTATAATACTCTCTCTGTCCTTTTTTATTTGTCTACTTTTGAATTGCTATATCTATTAAGAAAATAATTAACGACGTAGTGAGTTTATCATTTTACTTCTATTAATTATGAAGCGGATGAAAAGTTTTACATTTTTCAAAGTAATTAGTCATTTAACTGTGGGTATAATACGTAAAAAAAAATTGTCCTTTCTTGATTTGTCAAAATGGCCAAGTAATTAGGGACAACTATAAAAGAAAAAATAGACAAGTAATTAAGAACGAAGATAGTAATATGTATATTTCTCTAAATATAATATTTAAAATTAGAAATTTCGAAATAAATGAAGTAATTAATTAGAAGAGATATTCCCAATGTAAACAATGGTTAATATAAGATTGAGAATTAGAAATTTCGAAATAAATGAAGTAATTAATTAGAAGAGATATTCCCAATGTAAACAATGGTTAATATAAGATTGAGAAGAATATTTGTTCTTCATATTTTATGTACTATATGCCTACTTTAACAACTTCTTAATGGTCAATAATGGAGTGAAGATACCAAATTTACAAAAAGAGAATAATATGCCAACTCACTATTGAAATCCCCCCACCCAAATAGTAATATATATATATATTTTTTTTAAAAAAAAAGAGATTAGGCCATGATTATTTTGTGAACTACAACTAATACAATATATATTTTCTTAAAAAGGAAGAATTGGAATAATATGTAACAATTGAAAATGATAGATAAGATATGAGGCAAGATGCAGAAGTGACGGAGGTAGAATTTTTATCCACTAAATAGTTAGTTAGATTGGAATCTTTTATTTTAAATTAACAATTTAATATTTAAGTTATAAGAATATGTAAAATTTCAATAGAAAATATTTTGCTCTTTAATGAATTTTAGATAAAACTATGAGTTAATGTCGCTATCAAATATTGAAATTCAAATACACTAAAAAGAAGAAGAAAAATGGAGGTTCGTTTTCTCTTTAATATATCTTAGATATAAGTTTGTATCAAATTAATAAATACCAAACATGAAATACCAAATAAACTATTGATATTAAACACATCGAAAATGATAGGGAAATTGAAAAGAAGAAAAATGGAGGTTCATTCACTCTTTCTTTGATAAATTTTAGATGCTAATTTAAATTAAATCAAACCAATACATAGCAATTACCAACCATCATATACTAAATACCATATAGACTTTAAAAATAAACATATCGAAAGTGATAGGAAAATCATAAGAAAAGATGGAGTCGTATCTCTCTTAATAAATTTTACGGAATGATTTTTTTTTTAAAGAAAATCATATCGAATATTAAATATTTATATTTAAAAAGAAAAAAGAACACATTGAGAATGAAATAAAAAATAAAAGGTGTATCAAGATTTCAAATCTACATATTTTCTTTTAACTTTAACACT